ACAGACCACCAACTACTCATATGCAAATTGAAGCTAAAGCTGAGGAAAATTAAACCAAATCCATGGGATCCAAAATATAACTTTGAGTCTATCCCACCTGAATTTCTGAACCATCTCAAGAACAGGTTTGAGGCCTTGAACACGAATGAGTGAAGACCAGATAAGTTGTGGGAGGATATCAAGGGTATCATCCAAGAAGAGTGCAAACGTTCATTACAAAGACGGAAGATGAAGAAAAGGCTAAAATGGATGTCAGAAGAAACTCTGAATATTGCACTGGAGCGCAGAGAAGCCGAAGCACGGAAGAATTCAAGATACTAAAGAGCTGAACAGAAGATTTCAAAAGGCAGAGCGGGATGACAAAGCAAAATATTACAATGAAATGTGCAAGGAGCTGGAGTTCCAAATATAGGTTTCATATTAGCACTATCAAGTGTTCTGGGATTCCCATTCTTCTCAGAGTCAGCCACAGTTTGTTATGATCCACATAGTCAAATGCCTTTGCATAATCAATGAAACACAGATAGACATTCCTCTGGTATTCCCTACTTTCAGCCAAGATCCATCTAACATTAGTTACAATGTCCCTTGTACCATGACCCCTGCTAAACCTAGCCTGGACTTCTAGCAGTTCTCTGCTGATGTGCTGTTCCAGTCGTTTTTGGATGATCTTCAGGAGAATCTTGCTTGCATGTGAAATCAATGATATTGTTCTATAGTTTCCACACTCTACTGGGTCACCCGTCTTTGGGATGGGAATATAGAGAATTTGAGTGCCCAAGGAAAATCTGGTCCTTTTTCAGTGTCTTCCATTTCTTTTTTTCCCCCTTTTTCTTTATTTTTCCGTCTTAAATTTGGCTGTGCAAAACAAGGGCCTTAGGCTACATAACAATGTCCACAGTTAGAAACTATGGGTTCATACTGCGTGTAGTCAGCTGAAACCAACATTCAGGTATTGGAAGGTCTTCAAATCCTCCTGAATGTCTGTTAGGATTGGGGTGGAAAGGAGTTTGGGTACCGTGGAGCTTTGGGGGCTCCCCTAAGAGTAGCTTTCATTTTCATTCCACTTGGTGACCCACTGTTTTCGTTCCAGGTTGTCCTTACTGTATTTTTCATCTTTGATCTCTCGCTCTTCTTTCCGGATCCTTACAGCATGGTATCGGGGAACGCTATCATCGTACCTAGAGCGTTTAAAGAACCCACACTTCCATAATAAAAACACTCATAGGGCAAGCAGCAAAATCCCCGCAAGAATAGCCACCGGGATGACCCACCAAGGCACTCCTGAGTACTGGGCTACAGCCTTGGAGGGAAATACAATCACACGAACCTGAGTGCCTGCATTTGGCAGCTTGATATTCTCTGTGGCAGCAGTGACATCAATGGAAGCCCTCACAAGGATGTCCAAGTAGTTCATCTTGGAATATTCCTCCAGAAACGTGCCGTTCCACAACCTCAAGCGCAGCAGCACAGAGGCCTTGCTGTCCAGCCCTCGCAGCGGGCACCTTACGTTCACACAGTTCACGTTCACGCTGCAGTTAAGGGTCTGATACTTCCTTTCAGCAAACAAAGAGAAGTTCCTGCTATCATCTATCTGCTTTTCAGCAACTTCTCGTTTCCTTCTTGAGTTGTGAGATCCCTTTAGCTTTAAGAGGTTTATTTCATTTTCTGGCTCACAGGTTACTTTTTCCAATCCTTTGGATTCCACTTTTACCAAATAAAGCAGCCATTTGCCATTGTTAATTTCTTTTGGCCACTGAATATTCAAAGTTGCCGTGCCAAGGTTCTTGAGAGGTTTGCCTAAGTTAATTACCCTGAACTCATACTCTATTAAACTTCCTACTTCATCTTCTGATTTCATAGCTTGCTCACCAACAACCGTACCTCCAAAATACACCTGGGAAGGCTTAGCAACACCAGAGACCGATAAAAGCAGTTCAATAACCACTTTTGCTTTAGCTGTAATTGAAGCCAAATTATCCTGATTGCTTGCTGTCTCCAGCTTCAGAATAATATCCAGATCTGTGGTGTCAAAGTTGACCTCCGTTGTACTTATAATATAATAAAAAGTCACGTTGGGGTTTCTTTTAAAAGGATTTCCAAGCTCACAGTCTGCTTGTGAGCCATTCTGGTTGGCAACACAACTCAGCTGTTTCTCAGCGGAAGACCTCAGCTCCCTGTACACAGAGTAGGTCAATGTGTCCGGAAACGTTGCAATGAGTTTGGCTTCATGGGCAGTGTCACCATCCCTGGTGGGATCTCTTGGATTGGAAGGGCCATTTGTCACTGTTATTTCTAAAACAATGTCTTTCTGATCTTTCAGAACTAGTTCTGGTACACCTTTATGAATTGGTAAATAAGAAAATTTGTCTTGATTGCCTTCTTGGGTACAGAACTTATCTTCCAGTTTAAGGTTGCTGTTACATATGTTGTCGCTTCCACATCCTTCTTTTAAGAAGTGTACATCTGTATGTGCAGCTTTGGGTTCATTTGAATTCAGAATTGGGAGAACTTCTGGGAGTGAATTTACTCGCCTACGAGTGCCAGGCTCCTGGTTCTCTACTGATGCAGTTATGGGGATGGGACGCAGTTTGTCTCTGATATTTTCCTGCAGCCAGAGCATCTCCTCCACGCACACCTCCTGCTCCTGCCTCAACAAAGTCAGCAGCTTCGTGGACTTGGGCTCTGAAGCTTGGTTTCCAAAATGAACTCTTGATGACAGCCCAGATTTCCTTCTGTCCTTTTCAGCCTCCAGTGTGGCCACAAGTCCTATTACAGGATTATAGCCAGCAGGTTTGGCAGTATACTCAAAACAGGCTCTAACATCGAGGTAAATCCCACTGGGCACCCCACAAGGCTTAGACGTTTTGTGGTGGAGATCAATCTTGTCAGGTGATACTGTGATGGTTTTCTTAATACTAATCACTGGCCGGGATCTGAAAACAGTTACTGAATCGGAGAGGGAGCCCACAGCAACGTCAGGATAGGAATTTCTATCAAGGTCCATATTTCTGGCACTTGAATATCCAAAATAAGGTAATTTGCCCTCAAGAACCTGTGTAGGCTTGGTATTTATTCCATTCACGGATCCATGATAGATAAAAACTTTGCCCATTCCATCATAAGGGGCTCCAACTGCAATATCTGGGTAGCCATCTTGATTAATGTCCCCAATATTTTTTACTTCAATGCCAAACATAGAATCTTTTGTTCCATTAAGGCGAATTGGTACGACATTGTTCCATTTGCCTTGCTGGTTCATGTAGACGTACACTGCACCTCCAATTTCTCCATTTCTATCAAAATACTGTGGGGCTCCAATAACTATATCTTGCCACCCATCTTTACTTAGATCCACCACTGCCACGTCATAGCCAAACGAAGAGGCCAGACCTTCCTCGTCAAATATGTGCTCGGGGAGAAGATAGGTAGACTTGTCATCTTTTTTTAGCAACACCACAGCTCCACTGTGATTGGCTCTTGGAGCACCCAGATATAAACGTGAGCTAATTTTTTGAAACAATACCTTTCCCTGAGTCCAAAGAAAAGCCTAAATAACTGTTAACAGGAACAGGAACCATACTTTCATCATGGTTAGTCTCTCCACCAACTTCGTAAGGCCCATCTTCAAAGATGTTCATGTCAAAAAGAGTGTTATTCTTTTGCTCTACTCGAACAATCCCATTCCAATTGTAAGTACCAGGAGCTCCAAACACAATGTAATGAAAATCTTTAGTGAACGTAGCTGCCATACCTTGCTGGCATGAACCGAATTTTTCATGGATGGCCTCTCAGACGGCCGTCACAAAAACTCCAGTCTCCTCCGTCCATATAGTCTTAAATCTTGAGATTCTGACTCAGGACGTAACATCTCCCAAAGATATCTCGGGATTCCTGCTTCGTATTAACATGCTGCCTTTTTTCATATCGGTGAGCACGTCACAACCTTGCCCCCGGGGCCCTGGCTCTGCACCATGACACCCATCCACTGGTCCTCCTTGCTCTCTGATGTAGGGTCAGCATTGTTATAAAATTCAATCCGTGTGCATGGCCCCTGGGAGGTGATGTCACAGCTGTACAAACCTCCTGTCCGGTTAACTCTCTGCAGTGGAATGGCCCTGGCCTGAGGGGCCCCCACCAGCAACAGCCGCTTGTCCTCGGGCTGCAGCTGCCAGTAAGTGGCCAGGGAGAAGCCGAAGAGACTCCCGGGCTCCCCAGATTTCTGGATCACATTGCCCTCGCTAGTGTCCAAGTTGAAGGCGGCGCCGAGCCGAGGCAGGAGCCCCGCCGACAGGTAAAGCAGCCACAGCTGCCCCGAGGCCGCCATGGGCGGGCGCACGGGGAGGGGAGCCGGGACGTGCAGCCGCCGCGGGGCGCTCGGGGCTGGTTCCGGGTCTGAGCTGCCGCCTTGCTGCTGCCACGCCGGCTGCGGCCACCTTTGCTCCTCTCTCCCCGACGCCCGGCCCCACCCCCGGGTGGGTCGCTCTCCCCCTCGCCAGCAGCTCCGGCCGCTGAATGAGCCCTTCGCCAGCAGCTCCGGCCGCTGAATGAGCCCGTTGTCTTGCATTTCTGCAGTCTTTCTCCAGTCAACCACTTTTACTCTTTGTGGTTGTTTTTAGCCTCCTTCATAAAGGACTCTCACCTCAGTAGTACATTGTGAAGCTACTTTTCTCATTTTAGAGAAACAATTACAAGTTTAACAATTAGGAACTTCAACAATGAGTTTGCTGATATTACAGAATAAAAACAGTGAAGAACTTCTCGATTATGATCTTTATTCAGAGTTAAGTTTTCTAAGACAGACTTACAAAATAATATAGAAAATCATTTCAGTACTCTTTGATTTCAACATACTCTTCCATTCCAAAGGCCAAAAAAGGAGGTTTATTAGTGAGATAATTTCCACTAGATTTTATATTAGTATCCATTTATGAGCTTGATTTAAAATTGAAGAAATAAACCTTAATTCTCTATTTTTTTCCGAAACGTTTGTCAGCTGATTAATCTCGCCCAATAGAATGAGTCTCTTTTGGTCGATCAATACGGAAGAGAAACTCTGCAGGTGAGAAGTATCCAAGATACTCCACTGTATCAGGGCTGGTATCGTAATGGTAGTGTCCTCCTTTTCCATGATGACTGAAAAAATGAGTGTGTTCCAATCGCAGATCAAACCCCTAGGACAACAGATGAACCATCTGTTAGACTCACATTATTTGAATAGGCTTTTTTAAGGTGCAGAGAGATTTTTTTCACTTATGTTACAATAGTTTTTATTTTTAAGAAATAGGTTACACATCATATTATTCAAAATTCAAAGGATACAAAAAAAATTGTTCCCCTTCCTCCCTTGCCCACTTACTTCCTTTCCTCACACATAAACGAAAATAGTCAATTTCTTGCCTATTCTTCAGGAAATATTAACTGTAACTAATTTTTCAATCCAATGGGAGTAACATTCCATACATGCTATTATGCATATTGCTTTTCCCCCTTCACAATATAGCTTCCAAGTTGTTGCACATATAAAAGAGTCTCCCATTCTTTCATGTGTACATGGCTTGTATTTTATGTATGTTGTTGGTTGTTGTTTTCTGTTTAGTCTAATGGACCCATACCTGACCCTCTGGTGGGTTTTCAGAGGCAGTTAATCACGGAGGAGACTTCCCCATGCAGGGGGCAGCTGGTGAATTTGAACTGCATGCCTTTGGGATTGCAGTGCAGCTTCTTACCACTAGGCCACCAGAGTGAATGTATGTGCTCTTTCCCAACTGGCAATTATGTGATTGTCAATTCTATTAATATAATAATAGTGTCATGAATAATCTATTAACCAAGTCATTTTATATAGTTATAAAACATTTAAGGATATATCCATAGGATGCAATTGCTGACTCAAAAGATATGATCAGTCATTATTTGGGTAAAGAGTGGCTTTGAATTAGTCTATATTGCAGTGTTTTTCTATTAAGGTAGCTTTGCAGCATTCTGTTAGAAAATGCTCAATAAACTAATCGGAGATCTGACTCCCAGTCCTTTTTATTAAGCCATCAGGTATCATTTATAATGTCAGTGCCTTTATTTTCCATAAGGCAAAATTTCTTCTACCTAATTCATAGGTGACTTGTCAATTGCTCATCTATCTTTCAAGACAATTCTAGTTCTTTCAAGATCTCAAGTTCTTAAATACTACTACAAAAAGTATTTTTTTTAAAAAAATCAGTCAAAAACAAATCAAGCATTATTCCTACATTACAGTATAAAAGAGAGGCCAACTTACTGGATCTCTGGAGACAAAAACCGGCAGACAAACTAAAGGAGCCTGCATCTCATAGAAACGCAACCATTTATTCACGTCGTCATCAGAGTTCAATGGGCAGGAAGGAAATTCTGCGGGCTTTGATTTTTAAGAAACACATTAAATACTTATAAATAAGTGAATATAGTGACTATTAACCCTTTGCCATCATATCAATTCCCACTCACAGACGGACCCTATGACAGGAGCACTGCTCCCCATGATTTCCAAATAGATGCTGACGGCCACATCTTTTTGTGGCAAGAGATGCTCACAGCTACATCTTCTTGTGGCAAGGTGGCCTGGAAACAAAGACCTTTTAGTTAACAGAGCACAGTGTTTACCTTACCACTGTGCTACTAAGGCTCCTATAATGAATATTACTGAGAGGTAAAATTTAAGAATATATGCCGTTTCCACCCCCACCCCCTTCTTTCCATTCTCTCCCTCTGAGACGTTGAACTCTGCAAGAGGCAGCACCTGGACAGCTTTGCCAGCTATAGCTTCCCGTGTGCTAGAACCCACCACTGAGTGCTGGAGAAAGACTGAAGAGCTGCCAGAGAAAACACCAGGGGAGAAGAAATGACCCCTGTGAGAATGAATTTCTTCCTGCCCACCCCCACCCCCCATTCCTCAAAGAATGTTTATTTACTGATAAAAAGATTACTCATAAGTCTCTTATGAACTGTTCCAGACAAAAAGTGAGAGAAGCAAAAGAGGGAAAATGTCTTTATAACACAGTGAAGCTATAGGAAACTTAATCTAAAATTTAAAAATTAGGCAAAGGAGCTAATGTAAGAGAACAGGGACCAGATGTGATGCCCTTGGGGTCTGAGGGAGAAGGCTTCATTGGCAGAAGGAGGATTGTCTTAAGTAAACACATATTTAAAAAACAAAAAAAGAATATGTGCAGTTTTGTGATTTCAAAATCTTAAGCTTTTAAAAATATTCTAGTGACTTTTTTTTTTACTTCAAAAGAAGTTAATTACTATACCTTCTAAAAGTGATAAAGGAATGAGTCCAGTCAATATATATCTTTATTTTTTAGAGCCACCCTTACCTCAGTTATCACAGCTTTGTGAATCCCAATTTAAAAAATTACCTGTCATTGGGTCGGTTCTGACTCATAGTAGATCTACAGGACAGAGTGGGACTGTCCCATAGGGTTTCCAATCTGTAATCTTTATGGAAGTCTCAGTTTTCTCCTGCCCAGCAGCTAGATGATGGGTTACAATTACAGATACTACTCTAGAGCGATGGCTACATGGTGGAGTGGACCTGGGGAAGGGTTTGTAAAATAATGAAATAATCTTTTCTTTTACTTTTCCAAGAGGGTAATGTCTGGTGGGAGGGAGCCTCGGGAAGGGACAAATCTACAACAATGAATGAATGGAAATCCAAAGCCTCTGTAAATTTTCACTGAAATTAATAACAAATTTAAATTTAAAAAAAAGAATTAAGTTAGAGTAAGGATGGCAATGGAACCACCTTACCTCTGTAACTTGATTTGTGCCACTATTAGAACCTCTACTCAGAATATTATTGCTTTTCAATTTTTGACTCATGCACTTTTAACTTGTTAGTTAAATTTGTATCTTCTAGGCTGCAACACTTCCATGATACATCTTCAAGGATATGAACATGTACGGCTAAGCACAATTAATAACAGTGCACCTAAATTCCAAAATCAATCTCCATAATAGTCTATGTGTTTCCTACTGCCAAAGGGGCCCTTTAGAGTAGTGAGAGAAGACATTTACCCTGAAACCCACAGCGCCCCTTTTCAGCAGGAAGTAGCTAAGAGAATGCGCCATCCCCTTTTCCTTATGAATCAGGGTAAAGTCTCTTTCAGGGAGGAGTGATAGGGAATGGCAAGGGACACAATGACAAAGGAGATTAATCAGAATTGGCTTTGACAAGCACTGTGGCAATTGGACAATTAAAACAGACATGGGGGGGGGAAGAACGAACTGGGGAGGAGGGTGGAGAAAACAGTGCAACAATGAATGAATGAAGGCCCAAAATCTCTGTAAATGTTCATTAAAACTAATAAAATTTAAAAAAAAATTACAGATATTTAGATCAGCAGTCAAGCACTTCGGCATTGCACTACCAGGGTGCCTTTGAATTCAAGTATGTTTATAAATATAAGTAAACAAAGAAGTACACATACATTGATATTCATGTTGATGCTCTTTTTCTCAAAATTAGCCACAATTTGTTATGATCCACACAGTCAAATGCCTTTGCATAGTCAATGAAACATAGATGTACATTCCTCTAGTACTCTCTGCTTTCAGCTAAGATGCATCTCACTTTGGCTATAATGTCCCTAGAGCTATGTATGGCCTTTTCTAAACCCAGCCTGCACATCTACCTGTTCTCTGCTGATGTACTGTTCTTGTGGGTTTGGGGTAATCTTTAGCAGAATCTTGATTGTGTGTGATATTAGTGAAATTGTTCCATCATTTTGACACCTTGTCGGGTCATCTTTTTTTTTGCAATGGGAATAAATATTAATCTCTTCCAGGTAGTTGTCCTCAAGATATATTGACACAACCTGATGAATACATCCAGGGCAGCATCTGATGGTTGAAATATATCAATTGGTATGCCATCAATTTCAGAGCTTTGTTTTTTGCCAATTTCTTCAAAGCAGGTTGACCTTCTCCTTCATCACCATTGCCTCTTGATTATATGCTGTTTCATGAAATTTTTCTATGTCAGCCAATTCTTTTTGGTACAGTGACTCTGTGTACACCTACATCTTCTTTTGATGCTGCTTCCTGGGTCATTCAACATTCTACCCACAAAATCCTTAAGTATTGCAACTCAAGGCTTGAATTTGTTCTTCAGTTCCTTCAGTTTAAGAAATGCCAAGCGAGTTCAGCTCTTTTGATTTTCTGACTCCAACTCTTTGCACATTTCCTTATAATACTTTGCTTTGTCTTCTCGAGCTGCTGTTTGAAATCTGTTCAGCTCCTTAACGTCTTAGTTTCTTTGCTTTGGTTTTTTGGGGCTCTAGTGCAATATTCAGAGTTTCTTCTGACACGCATATTGATCTTTTCTTCCTCCTCTGTCTTTGTAATGACCTTTTGCATTCTTCATGGATGATATTCTAGATATCATCCCACAGCTCATTTGGTCTTGCATGCTGAAACTGAGGAGGACCTGAGGCATTTGCTTCAGAAGGTCAGGAACTGCAGTTTTCGATATGGATTAAAGCTCAATATCAAGGAAAAAGTGATTCTCACTGCTGGGTCATTTGGCAGCATCATGATAGATGGAGAAGAGATTGAGATTGTTAACAATTCCAGCTTACTTATTTCCATACATAACACTCTTGGCACCGGCAGTAAAGAAATAAAAATGAGAAAACCATTGGGTAGGAAACAGCAGGAATTGGAGTTAGGACTCCTGTCGTGAACACACGGAGACAGCAGAGGTTTGAGCAAGGTCCTCCAAGTGATTGACCTGCCCTTGCGATCACCCAACACTTTCCCT